AGTCCTAACCGTTGCCCGCCAAATCACGTACGCCATTCTGTGTCGATTGCACTCGACGTGGTTTGGCAGTAGTTCCGAGCCATACGGCTAATTGAATGCAGGTTGAAAGGGGTGAGAGGGGCTAGACGAGCAGACATGACGTGGCACATTCGCTCGCGCCACCGTGTAGCCCATCTCCCCACTTGCAGCGCCTTCATGTGTCGCGATCCGATCACCTGGAGCACATGGATTGTCAGATTGCTAAGGCGATCACGCAGGCCTTGAACGTAGCCCAATTCTGCCTCGCGGCGGTGAACCTATTGGCGGTGGAGCGCTACTAGTCGTTGTCGCGCGAGCGATCGGATCGCGAAGTATGAGCGCGCTCTCACTGAATAATCTCTTCTCTATCATCGCTTTCTCATAGTTAAGTCCACCTACCTCAGCAAAATTATTTCCCACAAGAGTTTTCAACGATGTCGCATTCCAATTATCAGGCAATTCTTGAGATTTCACAGTGGATTTTAATTTTCCTTCCTCGAAAGCGTTCATGAAGGCGGTCACACTCTCTTCGTTAATCTCACCATCAAAACTGTCTTCCATTCTGGAACGGTTACAAATATTTTTTTGACAAATTCTTCCAAAAGTATAAAAATAAAGAAAATGGACCTTACTTGTATACACTATTGGTCGATTTTACAAATAAGCGTACATAGGGAAGACCTTCGCGCTTAAGTGAAAGGAAATCCATGGCGTAGTTCACATTTGGATTGTCTACGTCACACAAAAGCATAACGAATTTGCCACGTTGCTTGTTTCCAATATTTTGCATCCATGCACTACTTTCTAAAACAGCAACCACTTTTCTACAGTAATATCCTGATCCGCACTTATTCCAAATGAGAGCCGTCTGTGCTTTGGTACCCCGTGAGTTCCTAACGTATTGCCATGCCAGCAATCATGGCTATAGGTTCATACTGCTGACTGGGCGAAGGTAGCGTAGTCAGGGCACGCCATCGCCTAGTAATCATTTTCTGAAAATGACGACCCCCCCCCCTCCCCGC